TTAAATTGATCTGGAAACACACCGGTTCTAAGTGATGTGTTAATTAAATTTAATATTGCGTACCCAGCCACATCAAAGCTTTTTTTAAGAAATTATCATTTAAAATTTCTGCTTTGTTAGTTTTGTCAAGCGAGAATATAATATTTCTTAGTTCATTAATTGTTAAAGTGATCAGTATTTTGAAAATGGTAATGATATTGTAAATAATTTTGCTATAGAATTTCAATCTATTTATAAACCTAATGAGCTGACTGATATACCAGAAATTAATTACGATAATACCTTCCACATAAGTAACTGCACTATTAGTCTGGGAACGATTCTAACCAAGCTAGGGGAATTAGTCAATAATAAAGGTCCTGGACCGGATGGAATACCAAATATTTTATTGAGAAACTGCCGATTTACACTTGCAAAACCATTATTAGCGCTTTTCTCTTCTCTGAAATTTGGTATATTTCCTCTATACTGGAAATCAAGCTTCATAAAACCTATTCATAAATCTGGCGATAAAGTTAATATTCAGAATTATCGCCCAATAAGTATTATCAGTGCTATACCCAAAGTGCTTGAGTCCACAGTATGTGACGAAATAAAAGATTCAGTTAATCAAGTTCTTATAAATGAACCAGAGGCAGATCAACAACTTCCAACTTTGGAGGAGAAACATCAAGTAGATGTCATTTATACTGACTTTTCTAAAGCATTTGACACAGTGAACCATTCAATTTTCTGTGAGCAATTGAAAGCAATTGGATTTTGTGGAAAACTATTGGAATGGCTGATAAGCTATATTAGTAACAGATCTCAGTATGTAAAAGTCAAGGAATTAATATCTCACGAAATTAATGTTTTATCAGGTGTACCACAAGGAAGCCATCTAGGGCCGTTTCTTTTCAACATTTTTATTAATGATATCAGAGTTAACTTAAAATATACTGACATCTTACTTTCTGCAGATGATTTAAAGATGTTTAAGACAATTCAAACACCTGATGATTGCTTAGTATTACAGACAGATTTAAACAGATTTAGTGAATGGTGTATACAAAATGATATGAATCTCAACGTGAATAAATGTAAATGTATGACGTATTATAGAGTACTTACACCTGTAAACTATGATTACTACATATCAGGAGAACTTTTAACATGTGTCAAATTTGTAACTGATTTAGGAGTAGTGATGGATAAAAAACTGGACTTTCACCTACATTATAGTTATGAATTTGATACAAAAAAAAGGGATGAGGGAATCTTCCAAAGAAAGAAAGGAAGTAATCAATTTGAAAATAAGTAACTCTATACATGGATGTGTAGATCATGCAAAGAAGTAACTTTCAGACACAAACTGAAAG